TGTATACAGCATATTGTTGGATTTTGTTTCCTAATCCACTGTGCCAGTCTATTTCTCTTAATTGGTGAATTGAGTCCATTTACATTGATGGTTATAATTGAGATGTATTGACTTATGATTGACATGTTATTTACCTGTTGTCATTTACTCCTTTTTCTCCTGTGTTTAATTGTTTGCCCTATTTAGTGGGTTCCTTCTGTTCTCATTCGTTGAGTTCTGATCACTTTGGTCCCTCTCTAGAACATCTTTTAGTAGTCTTTGTAGGGTTGGCTTTGTTGTCATGAAATTCTTTAATTGTTCTTTGTCATGGAAGTATTTCACTTCTCCATCAAACGTGAAAGAGAGTTTTTCAGGGTATAGTAGACTGGGCTGGAATTTGTTTTCATAGAGGACTTGAAGTACTCTGCTCCATGCTCTTCTGTCCTTCGTGGTTTGTGAAGCGAAGTGTACTATTATTTTAATGGGTTTTCCTTTGAATGTGATGTGTTCCTTTTCTCTAGCAGATTTCAGTATGTTATTCTTGTGCTGGATTTCTAGGATCTTGACTATTATATGTCTCAGTGTGCTTTAATTGGGTTGAAGTTTTTTCGTGTTTGGTATGCTTCAGTTACCTGTGTGTCAGATTGTTTCCTCATATGTGGGATGTTTTGTGCTATTATTTCTGCCCATAGTCTGCTTATATCATTTGTATTGATTCTTTCTTTCTCATTGATGTCTATTAGTCTCACATTATTCATCTTTGCATCATTTTGCAGGTGTTGAATTACTTTTTTCCTTCATCCTAATTGTTTTTAAGAGATCCTTTCTTACCTTTTCACTAGTTGCAATGGTGTCTTCAAGATCTGAAAGTTTATCTTCGCTTTCACTCAAATGGTTTTGCAAGTTTGTGTTTGACATTTTAAGTTACTCTATATCTCTTTGACTCTGCTTCATATGACCTATTTCTTTCCTGTGTTGTTCATTCAAGCAGTCCATTTTTTTCTAATCTCCTCTATTTTTTATCAGTGTCTTCTTGAGGAGTTATTAATTCTTTTACTATAGATATTATTTCTGATCTGATTTCCTCTGTATGTTTCTGCATTTGATTCTTTACTTCAGATCCTTTCAGAGATTTCTTTTTTATTTGAGAGGTTATTTCTGATCTGAGTTCCTCTGTACCTTTCTGCAGTTGTTTCTTTCCCTCAGACGCTATTGTTTCAGACATTTCAGCTGTGTGATTCCTAATTTCTTCAAGTGTCCTCTGCACTTGTTCTTGGTGGGCTCGGGGCCAGGGATTGCATTTGCTCCTTTGTCATTTCATGTAGCACTGACATCTGATCTTTGGTGTAGAGCTTTGGTACAGTTATAACCTTAGCACCTATTGAAATTCATGTGCAGATCTATTGAGTTCATCCAGTTGCACCTGGCTTGGGTCTAGCTGTTGTGCTCAGCTTTTTCCTGCTGCAGGCCTTGGAAGTGAACCTGTTGTGCCCCTCTGGCACTACAGTGAACCTGTTGTACCCCTCTGTTGTGCCTCTGGCCCAGGGAGTGCAAGGGAGTGCAGTAGCTCTCACACACACTAGCCGGACCTGAGCTTGGGCTGGGTCTAGAGCATCCAGAGAGCATGGCAGAGGGTCTCACTCATGCGATGTGCCTGGGTTTGGTCCAGAAAGGTCCTGTGAGCACAGGGGAGGAGAGTGCAGCAGAAATTTTCATTCAGTTTTTGGGCTTGGGCTGGGGCTCCAGAGGGTGGAAGGGTTCCAAGGACATGGCAGAAGGTCTCATGTGGCATGCCTTGGTTTTCTGAAGTTACATTTTGTATCTGTATAATGAAAATAGGATAGATAATAGGAGAGCTACTTTCTCTTAATTCAATAAATAGATTTGTACTAATAGTGTTTGTGGATAAGATATCATGTCTGCATCTTGTACTATGAATAACCACTAAGAAGACAACAACATACAATGTATTTTATTTATTTTTTATTTTATTATTTATTTATTTATTTTGTGGTACCAGGGATTGAACTCAGGCCCTTGCACTTGCCAGGCAAGTGCTTATTCTACTGAGCTACCTCCCCAGCCCACAATGTATTGATTACTGAAACTGTCCTACTAATTGGTTTTAAAACTCTTATTGCTATTTGTTTCTCAATTAAATTGTAATTAAATAAATCTGTGACAGAAAACAAAAGAACATTGCCCCCTCGTCTTTTTTTTCTTTGTGAAGCAATATCTAAGGTTCCTTGCTTCTTGGGGTGTGGCGTCCATATGAGACAGCGCTGGTGCTCACGAGGCTTCTAATACGCCAGCAGGCTTCACATGAGGTCAGACCTCAGGAGACTGCAGGCTTCTGAGAAACTTCCAACAAGACAGAGAAGCCTTGGGCAAAGCTCCCTGCTGCCCAGAACATTCCCATGGCCTGTGCTCCTATGGACATGGTTATAGATGGGTCCACTAGCCTCCACCTGAGACTCCCCAGGAGCACAGATGGTTGGGACAGTGTGTGTTTCAGGTGCCTCAGGGCCCTTGCTCTGGCCATGGCCCCTGCACCTGTGTCTGCTCACAGAAGGTAAGACCGCTGTTCTGAACTGGTTCCTGTAAGTGTCTATGCAGTGCAGGAGGAACAGTATGCACACACAGCATCCCAGGACTTGGTAAGAGGAAAGCTCCTAGGAGCTGAGGCCTGAGCTCTGTTTGTCCTTGTCTTGAACTGAGTATCATGTATGGAGCCTCAGTGGGCAAAACTTTTAATTCATGGCTAGATGCTCTTTGTCTGAAAGGGGACCGACCTCCTCAGTGTGCAGTCAGAGCTTCTAGTTCTCCTTTGGCTTCCTGTAATTCAGTCACCCAGGATCCTAGTAGTAGTGACCAACTGGTTTTTGTTGTTTGGTTTCTGGTAAGGGTGATAGTGTAGCTTGAACTCAGGATCTTCTTACATCCTTAGTCTGAACCCACACCACTGTGCAAACTTTAAGCCAAGGTCTCCCTAAATTTCCCAGGCTGCCTTCCAAGTCACCAACCTCCTGGGTCACCCTCCCCTAGTGCTGGGATACCAAGGAGGTCCCCCTGGCTCTGGTTCTTCAGAGGTCCCTGATCTGCTTACACTTTCACTTTCACCACTGAATTCTTCCCAGAGCCAGGTATGGCTTCCTCTATTGCAGTAGGACATCAGCACCTCCTCTCCCTGGGGAGAATCCATATGGCCCAGCTGGACAGGTCCCGGGCAGGAGGTAGGAACAGCAGGACAGGACAGCCCATTCCCTGCAGTCAGAAATGCCCTCAAGACCTAGGCCATAAAATCCCCTGAGTCCTTGTAAGTCCAGCCCTGAGTCCCATGGACCTGAGATCCATCAGCTGGATCAAGGCTCTAAAAGGGCAGCATGAGAGATGGGGTGTATCTAGCTGAGTGGGGACTGGCCAGGTTCTGATCAAAGGGATAGAGCTGGCCCCAGGAAGACCAGGACACAGCCAGATGGTCCCTGCAGATGAAGTTCTGGGGCTGAGGGGTGCAGGTGGCCTGGCCCTATGGGGCTGTCCTCACCACTGCCCTCATTGCTGTCTTCCCTGTAGCAGTCCTGCCCTGCTTCCTCCTGGATCTGGTCTAATCCCAGTCTCTGTCCACATCCAACACTCCTACCCATCCTCTCTTTGCTGTCACTCACTCCAGCTAACAGAAGCCTTCATCTTCCTGACCCTGGGTCACCCATGCGACTGGGTTATTTTCTTTGCTGCCTATAGCCTTAGCCCTAGTCACTGAGAGTCTATACTGCAGCAGGGAGGGCGTCTTTCTTGGAACGAGGCAGAGAATCAGCCGTGGCTGCCATGAGATGCAGGGAAATGAGGGCCCACTGGGGCCAAAGGGCAGGAGCTTGCAGAGTTGGCAGAAGGCCCTCTGGCTCAGAGGCCACAGTGAGGGCCAAGACTATACAGGGGACGAGCAAGCAGGGAAGGGCAGAAGTCATCATGGAAGGACAACAACTCTGTGGTTTGTAGTGAAAGCTAAAAGCACAGTTTACACTCTTAGGGACAGCTGGCTGTGGATGTCCGGGATGCCTCACAGGGGCTTTTCCTCTTTGCCTCCAGACCGCATCATGAGCATACTGTTGGAAGCCAGTGGTGCCTTTGCCACCAGCATTTTGAAGGTTCTTGGTCAGGAGGACCCTGTGTGCAGTGTCTTCTTCTCTCTCGTGAGCATTTCCTTTGCTATGGGCATGGTCCTGCTGGGGGCCAAGGGCAGCTTGGTGGCCGAGATGGCTCAGGTAGGCTCTCCTCTCCCCATCCCCTTCTGTGATATGAGGTATTATGGTTTGTTGTTGTTTTGGATAAGCGGGGAATCTTCCCAAAATAATAAACCAGAAAAGAGGAAATTTTCCTGGCATCTCATTTAGGAAATGAGCTGAGAGTGGACTGGCTTCCTGGGTTGAGATTGCCTAGGATTTGATCCCAGCATGGGAGAGGTAAGGAGAAGAAAAGGATGCCGCAATTCCTTGACACAAAGGTCACTGAGATTGGTCTCCTTTTGAGGCTCAAGACTTTGCAGCTGTAATGACCCATTACTGCCTTACTACTCAGTGAGAGGACAAGGAGAACAGGCTTGAGACGTCCATTCCTCTAGGGACGTATGTAGTTGTGACCCACACCAGGACTCATCTGGAAGGTCCTAGTACAAGTCTCTGTCCCTAGCAGATCTCAGGACGGGAAGGAGACCTGTGTCTGAGGTCAATTCCCAAGGCTGCTAACTGGCCTCTACTGCCCTGCCCATGGCTCTGTGCAGGGCCTGCTAAACTCTTTCACTTGGGTCTCATTGTGACCAGCAGTACCCGCAGGACCCTTTGATTAATGTCAGCTCTTTCCTTTTCCTGCTCACTGAGGCTGCGAGGTGGATGCCCAGAGGGGAAGCACCTTGGTGCCTCTTAGGAGCATCTAGGCTCTGAGCTCCCTGAGGCACTCTGAGGAACACTGAGTCACAGACTCAATGCTCAGGTACAATGAAGAGGCCTCCCTGAAAGTCATGGTGCCTGCTGCAGATCTCCACTCTCAGGAGGCTGAGTCACCCAGCCATCCAGGAGACTGAGTCCAGTCTGGGGCACACAGCTAGATCCTAGCTCAACATGAAAAAAACAAATTCCCTGCATAGGGTCATTTTATGGAATATTTATTGTTTTGTTTTTTGGTGGTGGAGACCAGAGGACCATACTGACACTGGGCATTGACTTCCTCCACAGGCACGGGCATTAAATACAGAGAAGGACATTCACGGTGGCTTCCAGTCACTTCTCACCCAAGTGCACAAGTCTGGCGATCCGTTCTCATTCAGCATAGCCAACAAGCTCTTCAGTACAGAGAGCTTTGAGCTCCTCTCAGTGAGTTGAGTCTCCTCAATGGGAAAGTTGCTTTAAAATACCTTGGCTCAAAGCATGATGGGAGGACCCAGAGAACGTGAGGGGCAGTGGGCACCCATGGTTGTCTAGTTGCACAGCTCTCTGAGCTTGCTTCCATGATTTCCCGTTTCAGGTCTGCACAGTTCTCCCTTTCCTGTCTAATTGTTCTTGACTCAGCATTTCCCTACCTAGAGCCTGCTATTTCACATCTCTTAGCCACAGGGTGGAACCTCACAGGGGACAGGTACGCCTCTTTAAAATTTCAAGGATCCAGTTACTACTACTCAAAGGGCTTGGCAGCTGGCTGAACTTTTCCACCACTCCATGGCCTCACCTCATGGGTGTCTTTCTGCAGTCATTTCAGGAGTCCTGTCTCACGTTCTACCAAGGCAAGCAGGAGCAGCTCTCCTTTGCCCAAGCTCCAGAGAGCTCCAGGAAACACATTAATGTCTGGGTGTTCAGAAAGACTGGAGGTCGGTACTAGGGGTTATTTCTACTCCTCCCGACTCCTGATGAACTTTTCCTTATTTGGACAGGATCATCTTTCATATCCAGATCAGACAGCGAGATACTGCACGCTTGGGCATAGGAGCAATTAAGGCTGGAAGTGTGAAATATTGGCACACCTGAATCCCACCAGGAGCGTTGCTATTTCTGCTAACAAATGAGGCAGTAGCGAATGGCAAGTAGTTTTCCAGTTACAAGTCTATAATTCTTTCCCCATCTCTTCCAGAATCTTTACCATTTATGCAGTGTTGCATCAGCAGTTAGCAAGGACACTCTTAGTTCATGAAAAGTGGCACTCAGTATCCAGAGTCAGAACAGGGAATCCAGCAGGTCCACATTCCCTTCCACAGGGAGTCCTGGTGCTCTGTCTGGAGGATCCAACAGCAGTCGCTCTTCCATTTCCTCCCTCTCTGTCCCTGTTCTGCTGTTCTTTACATTGAGTCCTCTCTGCCCAGTGTCAGCCCTGGGTGTGTGCATAGAGCGATAGCCACACACTTTATTCACCACGGAGGGCGCTGCAATTCCCACCCAGCAGAGCTATCATTTCCTGCCTGTTGGGTCTCCAACGCGTCCTCTCTTAGAACCTGCTTTCTTGCAGTGACTCAGAAGCCTGTCGCTGCCTTCATTTGGGGGATGCTCCTCAAGTGTCCATGGGCATGAACACCACTCCTAGCAGTTGTTTTTGGCTGGTCAATTCCTAGCCATCCTAGCTCAACACTTGGAAAACATCATGTTGACACCTGCCAGGACATTGTCCCGTAGTTTGTTCCTCAGGGTGCTTATAAGCAGTCACTGATGGCAGCCTCTGCCTTAATCAACAGGCAAAATTTATGAGTTGTTGGAGAAGCATTCAGTTCATGGAGTGTGCAGGCTGGTTCTTATTAATGTTGTCTACTTCAAAGGAAGATGGCAAGAACAGTTTGAAAAGTCGAGCACAATGGGACTGTCTTTCAAAATAAACCAGCTACAGAGAAGCTTTAAACAGAATCCTTTGGTAAAGTAATGGAGGAAACACTTTTAACTTTGCAGAGGCATTAAGCGATTAAATGTAATTTGAAGCAATATATTTCTGAATTCATTTTAAAACTCAAGAGAACAATATTATAGGATTAAGGAATATTTGTTGCTTAAAGGTTTTTTATAAATAGCTGCTCTTGCTGAGTCATAATTTCTCCTACATGTATTTGCTGCAACCTAGGATGGAAACTAAAGGATTTCCCCTAAGTCCAAGTTACTTAGGTGGAAACAATAAGAAATTTATGGAGAAATTGTGCTGCATGGGTGGATCACTGGGCAGGGGCTGGAAACTGGGACTACATAGATCTTTCAAGAAGTCATTATGAAATTAAAACAGGAATTCATTTGAATTGTTAATTAACTTAAAAATTATTAATTCACTGTTTTCTAATTTCTAATATTAAAAGCAAATGGCAAAGCCTTACATAGTGGCCTTTTCAACTTCATGTAAAGTAGAATTAAAAGAATTTGACAGGTCCTATGATCAGTTGAAAAATGGAAAACTAACTAGAAAAAAATATTTAGTTTATTTGTATGTATTAAACTACCCCTCTATTTAAAAATAACATGCACTTTATGCCATGATGCACATAGTTTTTGCACGGGACTGTGGGGCCCTCTCAGAGCCAAACAGGAGCAAGGGGAACGCTCAAGGCTTCCTGCTGGGTGCTGCTGGTCCTCACAGCTAGCTCCCCAGGGGGCCACTCCCTCTGCCCACTCCGTGGCTTCTCATGTCCGCGGGAAGTGCTGGCTGAGGTTTCTCCCAGGGTCACCAGGCAAATACTGCTTCCCTCCTGGGGGCCTGAGGGCTCAGCAAGCTCCTTTGGGCAGTTATCCTGCTCCTGGGAGAATCCCTGTAACAAGTGTGCCCCTCTGCTCACCCTACAGAAGGAGCAGAGGCCGGTGCAGATGATGTGTGAAGAAGCCATGTATCCTTGTGCCCAAGAGAGAGAGGTGCTGGAGCTGCCCTACAAGGGCCAGGGGCTGAGCATGGTCCTGCTGCGCTTAGATAAATGCGTGGACCTCAGCAAGGTGAGACAGGGACTTGGTGCATTACGCGTCCTGCCTGGACCATCTGGTGATGTCGCTGTGTGCAAGCCCACAAAAGGTGTGCTGACAAGTGGCCGGACCTTAGCTGTCTCTCTGCTCTCCCACTGACCTTGAACACACTTTCGCTAAAGCCACTCAGAATCCCACCTTGTCATGTCCAGCAATGAAGTCCCCTGGGAAGAGATACTAAACTCAGCACCCTTGATGAACTAAGGGGAGAGCTGAGTAGAGGAGACACTGCATTTGTTCGGAGGAAAAAGCTGCTCCAGACAGGACAGGGGACATGGAAAGATTCATGCCCATGGTCCTTTCTCTCTGGCTTCTTATAGGACATTTTGAAGGACCCTCACTCCTCTGGAACTTGTTCCAATTTGTGACAGCACAGCCTATGTGGATGTTCTGTTTAATGTGCTTGGTCTGCCTTTTGTGTGTCTGTTTGTACATCCAGGGTCTTACCTCAAGGAAGAAAAGCTTCTTCGTTGGGAGGGACTCTATAGCAAGTCAGCGTCCAGGTACTAGGTGATGTATGTATCTGCAGTAGTAACACAGAGACTCTGCGGTGAGGAAAACACGTGTGCAAGTGCTTAGGTGTGGGCACATATGGTGCTCCCTAGGCAAGCGTCACCCCTAGCTGGCACCTGCCCCCTCCTGTGTGCCGCGCTGGCCCTCGAGGCTTTGCTCTTGGATCTTTGCCTTCTGAGGATCTGTGCTCTGCCCCTCTACTTTCCCTCTGATGTAAGCCCCAATGCTATTGTGCTATTTGTGTTTTAATTCTCTGGTTTTCCTTTTCTAAAATCACTCTTCGTCCTTGTAAAATTTCCACCAACTTTCTCTAAGATGCTTTAATTCTTTATACCCAGGATTTTATAGGGAGTGCAAGGAGCACTGCATCGTACTCTTGCCCGTCAAGAGCCCCATTGTGCATATCCCAAACCCCTTTGGCGTGGCTCACAGAAAGAGCCACTTGTTCCTCCTCAGCACTGATGCTTTTCCTGATCCAGAACTAAAGCCTCCTTCAGAAACCAAGCACCTCACCAAGCCCAGCTACACCAAGAGTGCAGCCCCTGCCCTGGGCACCAGTTAGCAGTGGTGATAAGGAGGTGGGGCCCCCTATTTTACCACCAGAATCCACAGTTGGGTGTCATTGCACATGCTGGGTGAAGGACAAGCTGGAGAACTCACAAGCTTCCAGGCAGCTGCAGGGACAGTGAGTGACTATGGGCACCACCTGGCTGCCAGAGGAGGCTGGGCTGCCCCTTGAAGGGACCGTAGTGGATGGGTACTACAGTTTGAATGGCAAAGTATAATCCCTGTCTTTCAGGTGGAAAAAGCCCTGACTTTTGAGCAATTCCAAATCTGGACCAGTCCAGAGTTCATGAAGAGAAATGAAGTACAAGTTTGCCTTCCGAGATTTAAACTGGAGGAAGAATACGACATGGGCTCTGTGCTATGGGCTCTCGGCATACTGGATGTCTTTCATCTTGGCAAGGCAGACCTGTCTGGGATGTCACCTGACAGTGATCTGTGTCTGTCCAAGTTCATGCACAAGAGTGTGGTGGAGGTCAACGGAGAAGGCATGGAGGTTGCGGCAGTATCATCTTGTATGGTTGAAAATTATTGTGATAATAAAGGTAGGCCAGAGTTCTGCACTGACCGCCCCTTTCTGTTCTTCATCAGGCACAACAGGACCGACCAAGAGCCTGCTCTGCTGTGGCAGGTTCTCATCCCATAAGGGGTGCATGCCCTGTGTACGCGAGCATTTCCACCTCTTTCCCCAAACCCTGTAAAAACTTTGTCAAGTTGGCTCATTAGAAAAGCACTTGCAAGGGCCAGCTAAATAGCTCAGCAGATTAAAGCACCTGCAAGCAGGGGCAGGGGCTGGGGGTTCGGTCTTCTGGCCCGCCCCCAGAGTGCGCTGAGATGGCAATTGAGATTGGGTATGGTGGCGCTCACCTGTAATCCCAGTTCTTGGGAGGCTGTAAACAGCAGATCACTACAAGTCCGATCTAGTAATGAGACCCTGAACACCCTGCAGACCCTTCCCTAAAATACAGAAAAAAGAAAGAAAGAAAAGCACGTGCAGCCTGAGGCCAGCTGGGCACACACCTGCACCATCTGTCCGCATAGGCGCACCTTGGATGCGCTCTGCTCCCCCCACCGCTTCCCCCTACTCAAATCCATTGTGCTACCTGACCAACGGCTCCAGAGAGCAGAGCTCCACGTTTAATGCAGGATACAGAACAGATACCGAAGTGTGGGCCTGATACTCATAAACAACTCTGACTCTCCTGCTTGATCTCTTTATTGTGGTAACAGTGTGCTTCCTAACACCTCCAGGCCTATCACACACTGCCCTGAACCAGACCTTCTAATTAGCAAGCTATACTGGTAGACAATCTACTTCCTGTGATAGTTTTGTTTATGCTTCGATTTTTAAAGAAGTGCAATTTTAATTTTGTTTTTACTTGGTGTTTGCTGTTCAGCTGCTCTGTGCAGAGCACTACAACAGCGTCGGGCTTCTTCTGCAGCTGCTCTTTACCACTGGTGACCAACTCAGAGCTTTTGTGGCAACCAGGTTGCCCTATTTAATACATTCAGTCTTATACAGATCACAAGTATTTGCAGTGACTTGACTTCCTGTGACTGACTCTGGCTCTTAAATCACTTTCAGCACTTTAATTCATTTCAGAGATCATCTTCTTCAAGAAAGTTTGCATTTTCTCCAGATCCTGACATGCACTAAAGTTAAATACAAAGAGAGACTTTCATAGTGCATTTTTGCTGCTCCATGTATTTTACCATTATCACTCTTTCAGTTCCTGCAAAGGTATCCATCCTGTCTTTCTTCCTTGGTTTTCCTCCACTATAATTCCCTACATTCTAAAAGAGCGCAGGGATGGGTCCTGCCCATGGCTCTGGGGCTGAGCAATGTCAAGTCTTATGGCTTTAGTCATCCAGTGTGTTCACACCCTCCTCCAGTGTGAACTTCCACGCCTTGCAGTCACCTCCTCCTTTCTTCCGTCCACCCCATGTGCCAGCCTGCTTGGCAGCTCAAAGCTGCATCCTCCTCCAAATCTCACTTGCCCCACCTCACTTGAAGCCCTTTACTGCATGAATTTTTCCCAAAAGCAGGTACGAACTCTGCAGAGAAGGGGACGTTTTAATGTCCTGGCTGAATCTTCTTTCCTTTAGAGACCTGGGAAGCTGTAGTCACCCTTCCCTGCCCACCTCACAGGCCCCATTTCAACATAGCATATGTTGATTTCTTTTTTCTTGTGGCAGAGACAAAATATCTGGCACCCAAAATTAAGAGAGCACTTGTTTATTTCGCTCACCCTGGGGGGTAGTTTCGTTGCACACGGAGGTGGCTCCAAGGCAGTGCACATTGCAGATTAATTACATCAGGTCACAACGGAGGAAAAGCAAAAGCATCACCAGCGACATGGAGAAACAGCAGAGGGCAAACCTCTTTTCCTCCACCATTATGTTATGTGTAGGCTACCTGTCCAGAATCAATAAAGACCTCAAAACAATAATCTGAGTTTTCAAGTATAGATCAATCACAAACTCTAGAAGTGCTCCCCATGACAAGATGAGACTTTGGGGGACCTTTAGAAACAAAAGATAACATTCTATACCTGCCCCTGTACATCCCTTTTCACAAAAGGCATTTCTGTCCATCTCTAGGAGTTGCCAAAGTCCTAACAGTTTCAGCATTGCTGAGCAGTCCACGGCCCATGTGTCCTCTGGGATGGAAGGTGAACATTTAGTAGTGAACTCTAGTACAAATGAAAAGTTACACAGTTCGAACATGTAATTGCACAAGATAAACATTACAATTTAAAAAAGGCTAAAACAGAGGATACAAAGGATGGAGATCAAAATAAGTCCTAGCATAAAAGACAATAGGTCCTATTATTATTCCACATGACAATCTGCTGCAATCTGTGGAAAACTGTGAGCTCCATGTGTTTCTACCCTTGTGTTACTTCTAGTGATTGCTGTTCTCATGGACTTTTGACTTGATCCAACTTTGTTCCCCTCTTGTTGCTTTCTTCAAACAATCCATGCTTGGGGCTTTTATCACTGTGATCTTTATTGTACTTTCGTATTATACACACAACTTTACAGAGTGGGCACACTGCCTGGCCTTTTGAGAAAAGATACAAGCCTTTTTACCTCGGAAACATTTGTATTTTGTATGTACCAAAAACCAGTGCCCCTTGAAAGATGCTGAGGTCAGCTGACAGGCGTATGAGATTCCCTCCCCAGAGCCACCTGGTTGTAGGAACCAACTGCCTGAATTACAGAACATTCTGCAGTATTTTGAGGAACGAATTTTGTCTGTCATCTCTTTTTGGAATGTGGTGCAGCAGTCATTCCAGAACACCGTATTCTGTAGTGATTTGCTTTGAGCGAAGTTTAACTTTTTTTCATTTTGAGGCTACTAAGGTTGGAGAGTTGTTGTGGCTTGTGACACCCTCAGGGCATTTGTTTTGATTTTCCTGTTCCTTTTCGGCAATGATGATCTCCTCAACTCTATCTCTTTAGTACACAGCCTTACTAGAGCTTCCTATTTGGACAAATTCACAACATTTTAAATCATCCTGTTGGGCTCTCTTTGATTTGTAACATTAGGCTGGCTAAAAGCCCCCAGTAATGTCCATGTCACTGAGTCAGCATTTGACTGCTTTGAAATTATTTTAATCAAATTAATTGGAGCCTCACCCTTAATCTCAGTCTCAGGAAAAGTCGTAGACACCAAAATTCAGACAACCTTTCTGCCAAACCAAAGTGCTCATCATCTGGAGTCCTTTCAGCACAAAATTGTACATCCTTGAGGGTGCTTCCTCAATCCAGCACTTTCGGGGGAGGAAGAATCGCAGCTACCAGCTGCCCATCAGGGCTGTCACCAGGACCTTCGTGATGTGCACCAGGACTCGCAAGCTGAAGAAGCTGAACCCGAGGACCTTAAGCGCCGCCCGCCCTTCCCATCCTGGCGCCCCGGTCCTGACCCACGTGCAGCGCGTTGCTCCTGGCTGTCTGTTGGTAGAGGAAGCTTTCCGGGTCTTTGTTGAGACCCGCAACTCTGTGCCAGTGGCGTTTTCTAAGCATTAGCAGAAAGAATAGGAGCAGTTCTGAGCCCATAAGGTCAGACAGGCCTTGCTAGCAGTAGCCTCTGGTGCCGGTGTTGCGGTCTGCAGGGATCAGAGGTGAATTCCACCTGCTCCCAGCTGTGGTGCTGGGGGAGGCAGTGCTGCCCCAGGCCGCCTGTGTGTGTGGAAGCGCTGGCGCCGAGCTGGGAGCAGCAGCTCTGGACGACCCTGTGCCTCCCAGGGGTTCTGAGGATCCACGTTCTCAGTGGGCCGGCTGGCGATCCCAGTTACCCAGGAGGCTGCGGCTGGAGAAGGCTCTGCAGCTCACGGCCAGTCAGGGCCCGCATAGTGAGACCTTGTCTCAAAAAGCCTGAAATAGCCAGGCGTGGAGGCACACGCCTGCAATCCCAGCAGG